AGCAAAGGATAACGCAAACGAGCGTAGAAATTATCCCTCCTATAAGGAATTTAAAGAAAGTTTTGTCGAAAATATTTCCTGTTGTATTAATTATAAATTGTATCGGTTATTTTGTATTTTGTATCGACGTTATAAGTTTTTATTATCTTTTTTTCTCTTGATGCTTCTTTAATATTATAAATTTGTGAACAGATAAAGAATCCTTTTCTTATTATAACAATTGTCTTATTGAAACAAAATTTATATCGAGGCAAAAAATTTGGGCAAATTAAATTTAGTAGACAGACATGAGACATCACTATGCTCGTCAAGTTTGAAACAAATAGCGTTACGAAATATTTTCTATAATATATTTCATGATGTAAATGGATATATAATGGATAATAATAACTAATTATTAGGAATTAATAATGAAATGGCCTAGAAACTTGGATAAGGGTGAAACTTGATATCAAATCTCAATTTCACATTTTCTTTTGTCTGCGAAAAATACAACGCAATAAAAACTTAGAGTGTAATCGATTACTTTATCAAGTATATAATAAAAATTTTTAAATCGACTTTTTTGAATAATTACTATAGAAAAGCTTCTCTAGTTGAGAAGATTCTGACAACAACGTTTTAGATATGATTGATAAGAGAGATTAGATATGATTGATAAGATAAGATTGTATATTTAATTTTGCTACTCGACTTGCTTCTTGATAGTGAAGTTAAATGTAACGTATAATCAGCTAAATCGCTATCAACAGCATCTCTGGAAATACAACTGTGTAACAATGTGTAATCTTGTGTAATTTGTGTAATTGTATAATTTCGTAATCTTGTGTTTACTAACACTTTTATAACTCGGATGTATATGTTAATGAGTAAATACAGATCATTAATTCTGTTATGAATATCTTATGTATATTTTACATATCGAATCTCTCCCATTCCTTTTTATCAATTATCTTGTTATATTACCTTGAATATAAAATTATATTTTTTCGACCTGGTGTGCATAAATGGTGAAAAAGTTTATTTAAACAGCATGTGGATGATAATAAGACAATATACAGGTACGTACACGCGCGATAATGCCTGCAGCGAGTCATCGTACGTCGCATACTTGTGTGTATGGCTTCGTTATCATTATTCTTAATTATACTTATCATATGGATACTGCTTATATTTTGACAACTAATGAATCCTATAACATTAAAGTCTTATAATATTATAGTTTAAAAAAGACATAAATATATTTGTTGAAGCATCTAGACACTACACGTACCATATACAGAAAAACAAAAGGAATATTACATTTTGACCGCTTTGTATATTTTCAATCAAAAAAGAAACACTTCCTTCGTTCTCGTTTTTGAAAATGTTTTTTAGTTATGCAATGAGAGTTGCGAAATTTGAGAAATCGATGTAATATACTCTTGTTAATCTCGATCAGGCCTGATGATATGAGAGAAATGACTATCAGCAGATTATGTTGAAATGATTTTTAATATTAATATAATAATATATATTAATAATATATTTATTATAATATAATAATTTTAATATTTTTCATACATAATTTTCATTATTATTCATTTTACATTGTATAAATAATATTGATTTATTACGTTTATTAAATATTTATTTTATATTAATTATTCATTTGCAAAATAATGATTAATGACAGAAAAAATATTTATTTAACATTTATTTTATCACGTTTTACAAAATAATTCTTTTTCGATAATTTAAAAAGAATTTTATAGAAGTATACATTTTGATTTCTATACAATTAAATTGAAATTGTCTTT